TTAAAAAGTTTAATTTTTTTTTTTTTAATAGTACCACAATAACTACAAACAAATGGATAAGACTAACACAGAAGTGTCATTCAAAGAAATAACTGATAGGATTTGGGAGCTATCTGGATGTGACATGTGAAGTGACTAGGTTTTTCATTCTGATGCCTAGAATGGTGGTAACTTAAATTTGAAAATCAAGAAAGAAAGCCTGTTTGACAAGAGAAGTGCTCAGCTTGGTTTTAGATTTGATAAAATCAAGAGAACAGTGAGAGCTTCAAGCATTAATGTCTAGCAGATAATTGTTCAATCTCTGCTTGAACTTGAAGAGAGTTCAGGGCTGGAGCCATACATCTAGGAATCATCATCAGGAAATCACAAATGAAACTACAGAACTGCTTAGAATACAATAATATATAGCTAAGGGACTTAATCACTCCCTGAGTAAGTCTGTGGCCTCCAAATGGAAAACTAATCTTAAGGCCTTCCCCTGAAATGGAGGAGTTGGTGTGAATGGTCAAGAACATTTGAAGACTATGAGCATTATGCAAGGAGTTGGGGTCAAGAGAAAGTATGAAGCTCTCTTCTAGGGGTAGTAAATCCCCTTTCTCTAAAGGGAAGGCATATAGTTTTGGGCATATGGACATTACCTGGGGGGTGACAACTCAGCCAGGCTTCCCCTTCATCCTTCCTATGAAGAGAAACAAAAGATTAATTAGGCTCATTCAATGCTGAAAAGGATGCCACTGGTGCAAGGGGGAAAGAAGATCATATAATTTTCAGTTTGGACATAGTACTGAGGTATGATCCAGTATAACATCTCATCCAGGCATAGATTATTCTAAGACAAACTTTATTTACTGAAGAAATATTCATGGATTAAGCACTTAATGCATAGATATCTACGGGTTAAATGAATACTCAAATATTTCATCAATAGGGAGTTCACTATCCATACAGCTGCACAGCTTTGAAAAGAATACTTTCAAAACTGAACTACTGGGACCTCATCAAAATAAAAAGCTTCTGCACAGCGAAGGAAACAATCAGCAAAACTAAAAGGCAACCAACAGAATGGGAGAAGATATTTGCAAATGACATATCAGATAAAAGGTTAGTATCCAAAATCTATAGGGAACTTATCAAATTTAACATCCCAAACCCAAATAATCCAGTGAAGAAATGGGCAAAAGACATGAATAGACACTTCTCCAAGGAAGACATCCAGATGGCCAACCGACACATGAAAAAATGCTCCACATCACTCAGCATCAGGGAAATACAAATCAAAACCACAACGAGATACCACCTCACACCTGTCAGAATGGCTAACATTAACAACTCAGGCAACAACAGATGTTGGCAAGGATGTGGAGAAAGAGGATCTCTTTTGCATTGTTGGTGGCAATGCAAGCTGGTACAGCCACTCTGGAAAACAGTATGGAGGTTCCTCAAAAAACTAAAAATAGAACTAACCTATGACCCAGCAA